CCAGCCTGGGTAACATGAGTGAAACTCCGTCAAAAAAAAAAAAAAAAAAAATTTTAAGAACGCATACAAAATTTTAAGTTCTGACTTCTTTATAATCCCTTCTACTTGCAGAACACATTCACTTTATACTTTTAACTCAGATATATATCATTAACATGATTATAAGAAACTTCTGTAAGTAAAGTTATCTTCTGAATCTATGTCCTCTATGAAACATTACAAGGTAGGCATTATTTTACTATAGAAATTAAGAGTTTAAAATCTAATTTTATAAGACAGCATTTAGGTTCGCCATCTGAAATAAAGAAATGTTCCTTGCTGGGCACAGTGGCTCATGTCAGCAATCCCAGCACTTTGAGGGGGGCCAGTGTGGGCGGACCACGAGTTCAGGAGTTTGAGACAAGCCTGACCAACATGATGAAACCCCATCTCTACTAAAAACACAAAAATTAGCCAGGCATGGTGGCGCATGTCTGTAATCCCAGCTACTCAGGAGGCTGAGGCAGGAGAATCGCTTGAACCCAGGAGGCAGAGGTGGAGCCAAGATTGTGCAACTGCACTCCAGCCTGGGCAACAAAGTGAGACTCCATCTCAAAACAAAGTAACAGAAATGTTCCCTATTTTCAAAGAAATGAAAAACTCTTATAATCTCATGGAAAACAAAAGAAATACTTAAGTCTGAGTTGTTCAGCAATCATAGGAAATCCAGGCATTCAAGAATTAGAAATTAATTAATTGAATTGAAAGCCAAGCAGAATCATTTTATCTAAGTGCCAGATTGCTCTGGGAAGAACAAAAAGACTAGCTCCAGCCTCAGAAAAAGATATCTTAACTTTTGTCCCTTCAACTATTTCCAAGGTCTACCTTTGGGAAATTAATAGAAAGCAAATTCTTGCACACTCATTCATTTCCTGCTTTTTGTTCTCAGTTAACCTCTGGTGAAGATGAAAGAAGCAATTAGGATTCCTCCTTTTCTCACTCTTTTCTCCCTGACACCTTGCCCCAAATCAGTGTCCTCAACAGCAATGCCTAAATCAAACGGAAATAAAAGATATTCTAGAAATTCATACTTCCTTATAGAAACTTAAGTTTTCCTAATTATAATCTTGTAATGACTTCTGCCCCTCCTAGACATACATATCTTTAATAACACTAGAGCGACAACTCTTCCTCCTCCCTTATAGCAAAGAATAAAATATTAATTTCATTTTCTTGGCCCAAAAGACCCAAAATAGTCAATCTCCATGAAGAGTAGTTTTAAAAACAGGTTCTTAAAAAGTTTTTTTTTAAATAAAGTTTAAATTAAGAACTCCTATTCTTATGTACTCAACAGAAAAGAAAACTAATCAATGAGATAGGCAGCAAAGACCAGAAATGTGGTGGGGTATGTGTGTGTTTTGTGAGGTTTGTTTTTGAGGCGAGTCTCGCTTTATCACCCAGGTTGGAGTACAGTGGCATGATCTTGGCTCACTGCAACCTCTGTCTCCTGGATTCCAGCAATACTCCTGTCTCAGCCTCCTGAGTAGCTGGAATTACAGGTGCCCGCCACTACACCAAGCTAATTTTTATACTTTTAGTAGAGATGGGGTGTTGCATCACGTTAGTCAGGCTGGTCTCGAACTCCTGACCTCAGGTAATCCGCCCACCTCGGCCTCCCAAAGGGCTAGGATTATGGCATGAGCCACCATGTCCGGCGTGTGTGTGTGTGTGTGTATGTGTGTGTGTGTGTGTGTGTGTGTGTGTGTGTGTGTGTGTGTGGTTTTTAAGACAGGGTCTCACTCCGTTTCCGAGGCTAGAGTGCAGTGGCATGATCATGGCTCACTGCAGCCTCAACCTTACAGGCTCCAGTGATCCTCCCACTTCAGCCTCCTGAGTAGCTGGGACCACAGACACATGCCACCATGCCCAGCTCATTTTCTACTTTTTTGGTTTTTTATAGAGATAGGGTCTCATTGGTCTCGAAATCCTGGGCTCAAGCAGTCCTCCCACTTCAGCCTCCCAAAGTACTGGAATTACATGAGTCACAGCATCTAGCCAGGTTTTTGTTTTTTAAGATAACACTAGGCAGATTTCAAGATTAAAAACATACCAATATCTTTTTGAAAGGTGCAAAATTTACAATGCTTATTCTAATATGCTCTGTTACTAGATCTTGCCATAAAAACACAATCTCTAAACTTCATCCTTTTTATATTAGCCCTTTCCCCTCACAGTTGCCTAAGAGTTTTCTAGAAAGACAACTTAATTTGAAGGTTGGTTTGCCATTAGAACACAAGAGTATGTCCATGTATAAATAAGCATGCCTTTCCTATTTTGCGTAGATTTTTGAGATATTAAACATAAATTCTAGAAGACATTTGGAAGTAAACTACACTTAAAAAATAACTACCAGTGTCCCAAACCTAGCTAATCTCCAGACTGCTTATCAGTATAAGAATGTTTTATTACGGATGTTAATGTTATTGTCTCTCCATCTGTAAACAAAAAGATTTTTAAAAGTTCTGGCTCCTGTCACACAGTTTTATCCAGACTAACAGGCATCAAAAATGGACAAGGACCAGAAAGCTAAATGAAAATGCAGTCCCATCCTTTAAGCATACAACTTAACAATGAAAAGAAACAGATTTGAATTTTTAATTGCTGTCATCATAACTGAAAACTGTCCAACTCTAGCTAGCCAAGAGGTACATTCACAGAGAAACAAAATTCAAATAGTAGAGGCTATGTGAAATGAAAATAATCCCCACTTCTACTGGCCTAGTTAAAATCTGTATTCTGGCAGTTAGGTAGGGGGCTACTCATATTTTTTAAAACAAGCCAATAAAAACCCCAACAACCTCCAATAACCACACACCACAATGTGGGCTCTGTTTAAACGATGAGCTGAAATAACTACTCTTTGAAAGAAGTTATCGGATTACCAAATGGCCAAAAGACTAGAAACGGTTTTGACCTGAACACCTCCTCCAACTCAACACGTCCCCAAAAAGACCCAACTTTTTAAAATTAGTAATATTTATCTCATGTAAACTAGAGGGAGACATATGACTGCCATCCAAATACATACAGGAAGAAAATGAGGTTTTCAGCTAAAACCAAAAAGCAAAAATCATCAATATGCTTTACTTAAGGAAGGTAAAAGTACTAAGTTAAATCAGACCTAACAAGAAGTAAAAGGAATTTCTCCCCTTATGCTTTTAAGTAACTGCATTTAAATCAACAACTCAGAAAAATTCAGACAAACCAAACCTTGAATGTAAAAAATTCTTAGACAAAACATTTTACTTAACCCAGAAAACTGAAAGGCAAGGGTTTTTTTTTGGTTTTTTAAAAAAGCATACTGGCTAAATTACTTATATTCATACTAAATAAATATTCTCATAAGAGGAAAAGTTTTTTCAAACATACAGCCTAATAGAAACCTATTCTACATACATTATGGAGTATATTAAGTATATTGTTTATACATCAAAAACTTAAGTACTATACAATTCAGCATTTTTAAAAAATCAATCCACACAAACAATTGGAATTCAAGTTGCCAATAAGCCTGTGAATATAACTATTAAGAATAATGTTATATTTCCAAAGTCTATCTGAGTTACTTATTTTTCTCGCA